GGCTGCTTTGTTCCCGCCGCCCCGGCCTGCGGGAGCGCGTTCCTGCTGCAGAGCCGGCACAATAGCGCGCGGGGGAGCGGAGCGGCGCGGGGCAGCTTCCCTGCCCGCCGCTGCCGTCTGCGCTCCGTGGAGCCTCGGTGCATCCTACGGCGTCGCAGGGCGAGGGGCCTTTCTCGTTCCCATCTCTGCTAGGCTGAGACATACGCCTGTCTTGAGCTCAGGCTAAACTGTCTCCCTCTCTGCTGGGAGCACTTGGGCAGCCACCGGGATGATTCCAGCGGGACGGACAGGTGGTGAAACCCCCTCTGGCTCCACGGGGCGCAGGAGCACCTGTGTCCGCTGGGATTTGCTCCTGGCTAGCAGGGATGCGAGCAGGGGGGTAGCAGGGCTGTGGCGGGCAGCGTGGGCTCCATGCGGGCCGTGGGTGCTGTGCTGCCCTGGTTCCTCTTTGTGCACAGCCTCCTCCTCAGCCCCGAGCCCAGGAGACCGTCCCCATCCTTCTGACCCGCCCCTCTTGGCTAATACATGGGTTTGATTTCCAGATCTTGAGAGGTGACCCAGTTATCCACGATGTGTCTCACTAAACCTCGGCCTGGCAGGTGAGACCCCTGGAGCACGGCTGTCCTGATCCATGTGTCTGCACATGTCAGGTCCTTCCTTTTCAAGTCCAGGAAGGGTCCCAGGGCTGCCTTTGCCCTTCGCAACATGTTCATTTTGCTCCTGAGAGGCCAGGCCGTATCCTGGGAGCTTCCTCCGCTGTTAGGGCCATTGCAGCGGGAGGTGCTTACCAAAGAGAAGGGTGGTTTTGGTAAGAAATGGCTTTGGAGTCTTCTTAGTTATAGTGTTTTAGCATTTTAGTTTCTAGAGCTTGGCTGGAGAGGGATAGTTATGTTCTGTGCTCTTTGAGGGCAGTCTGATTCTGAGAGCTCCTCATCGGCCAGAGAATCATCAAAACACTGAGAGATCCGTGGTGTCCTTTGGGAAATGGGGAGCAACGTTCCCCTCACCCGTGCCAGTCCCTTTGTTTTACTCTCTCCTCCTTTTCTGCCTAGGCGTTTACTCCTCATCCCTGAATTTGTAAGTCACCCGTGTCGGTGCTTGTGTCACCATCACCGTCCCTGTGGCTGGGGTGTCACAGGGCTGTGTCCTTGCCCCCTTCCCTTGGACAGGCCCTTGCCCCCAGGTGCTGACCGCTGTTCAGAAGAGGCTGGGCAGGAACCCAGGGAGCCGTCTCGGAGCTGCTCGGGGCTCCCTGTGGCATGCGGGGCCCGTTCCCCTCCTCGGGGTCCTGCAGGTTTGCTCTTCTGTCTTGTTCTCGTTCGGGCTTCTCCTAGGAGCGCAGTTCCCCTGAGCCCAGACCGGCCCCTTCTGGGGAGTCCCGCATTTGCTTCCCCTCCGAACTCAGTGAAAGTCCCTCCGGAAGCTTGTCCCGTATCTGCTTTTCCCCCTCTGTACAGAGGGTTCCTTGGTGACACTCGGCTGTGTCTGGGGAATGGCTGCAGGGGTGGACCCTGCGGCTGGGACAGAGGGAGCAGGGATCCCATCCCGCCCTCCAGGGAAGTCTTGTTCGGGCCTCTTCCTTCTCTAGCTCTCCCTCCTGCTTTCCGTGCTGGTGCTGCTCAGTTTTGCAAGTGCAGACGTGATTCCCCGGTGCTGCTCAGCACCAGGGTTAGAGCCTCTTGTGTCCCTTCTCCCTTCCCTCTAGGCATGTTTCCTCGCTCCGCTGCATGAATATTCACCAAGCACCAGCTCTCCAGCCACAGGATTTAATCAGAAAGGCTGAGCATTTGTGATTAAAACGCCTCCCCGGGGGGACAGTGCCTGCAGCCCGCGCTGGGCTCTCTTTGGTGTTCTCTCTCGCTTGCAGAGGGTCATTTTCTCCACCATCTGCTTCCCTGTGCCGTGGAGCCCTGGGGCCGGGCTCCCTGCTGCCCAAGCCCCTGTGCAAGGGGAGGCACCGTGGCAGAGCCCTGGCCTGCGGTGGGGGAGCGGAGGGGTGGCCCTGGCATCCCCAGGGAGGCCTTTGCTGGCCCGCCTGGCTGCCACCACCAGGGCCCTGGGGGAGGAGATGGAG